AATTCCATTTGGGTCCTTAGATCCAGAAATACAATCAACAGTCCTGAATCCTCCAATTTCGATATAATTTTGCACACCGTCTAGGGAGTCAGGGTTAAGTAAAAGGGTGTAAAGGTTACTTGGGCCACTCTCACCTCTGATGTCATTAACATCAACTATTCAATGCCTATGCAATGCTTAAACCAGATTCAGAATGTCCATGTGGGAGTGGCTATAAAAAAAAGTAAAATTTACACCCTTTCACTTAATAATTGATTGTATTTCTGGATCTAGGGACCCAAGTGAAAATGGGTAGATAAAAAAAAGGAGTGGATTGAGGAATAGTCAGGCTATTGTATAGTTTCATTGAAGAGAAAAATATTAAACAGTTTAATAAATTATTTTTTTTCTGAATGTTCCATTTTTTATATCGCACTCTGTACCTCAACAGAGACTCAGAATCATAGCAGTCAATGAAACGATCCGTATTATCGGATTTATGCGCATGTTTTCGAAAGTCAACTCAGGTAGCAATCAGTTGTGCGAATCTGACACGTTTGGCACGTAAACTAAACGTTGGTGTGTGTTTGTATGAGTTCGAGTTGTTTGCAGTTGTGCAGCATTCGATATTGGGGCAGTGAAGCCGAGGGAGTTAATAGTGTCTTGTGATCACGTTGACTCCATGCAGTACAGGGAGACTAGATTCAATGAAAACTGACACGCTCGGAAGCTGATGTACTTTGAAAGTAAATGTTTACTGCATTTACCCTCGCCTCCACAGGTCCGACTGGAAAAACATTTCCCAGAGAAGGTGACGTCAGTCGCTGCCACCAATATCATCATTAAATATCATATCTTGAGTCTGCTAATAGACTTCATACATTGACGTCATTGTCTGAACTGAATCACTTAGAAATTAACAAGGTGTGGCGTGTTTTGACTGAATTTTTAATCTGTCAATTCCGGTGTACGTGAAAAGATAGCATATTGATGACGTTCAGGGTTACTGAAACGACCCATATTCTTTATATAAGGTCTAATTGCTATACCTAGTAACGGTTCGCTTAGAGCATAGCTACCGTGTTGTTGTGTACAGATGGGAGTGTTTAGATAACAGTGAGACTAACCATCACTGATGCTATCAGACCTGTTGAGGCCGGTCGAGTTGACCAACTGAATTGTAAACGATCAATTAGACGAAGACGAATCAACAAGGGGAATGTGATAACATCTCGTTTTACGGTCAGTCAGCTTGTCGTGATATCGGCGTTATATTGTCGTTAAAGAGCCCAGAAGATCGAGCATACAGAATAACCGGGGACGTCTTCTCATAAATCCATAAAAAGAAGCCCAAAACAACCCGAGGATAATCTTTGTCCCCAGCCTAGGGTTAGGAATTAAATTTTGCTGCGTGCAAACGACATGGGAGATCGGTGTCTGGGATTTTTTTTAATTCCATGAAAACTTATTCGATACGCCTCAACCGTGCGCCTGCAGCAACTTTCTATATTTTATGCCAACAATTACACTGTTTGGTACTTTTGTTCCAAACTCTTACTTTGTTTCGTTCTGGATAAATAATTTGATGCTGTTTATTGTGAATGTTTAACGCTTTTGGTCAGATGTGGTAAAGACGAATCCGTCCACCAAAATTTTAAGCCACGAACGATATGGAAACACGCTCGCACGACGCATTCTTGAAATCGAGGCGCGCCATTTTGGTAACCCTATAGACCATTATCATGTTGCAGCCATTTGATTTTTGCCCATTCATATCAATGTACCCAAAGCGAGGCTGGAAGGAAAAATAGTCTGGTTCCCTTTTGCACAAAACCATCATCATTCAGTAGTTATTGGATACAGGGAACATGCCTGAAATGGTTGCAGCATGATGAAGGTCGAAGAAGCATTAAATGCGCGCGTATACCACCTGCGCGCAAGCGTGGTTCCACCTCAGGATTATGGCTCCTTATTGAGGTTGTGAATTACTCTATACAGGTTCAATCATACCTTTTCACTGATGCGAACTAAAATCGCTGCTCAATCACGAAATGAAATCTCAATCATCTAGGAGGTGGATATCATTGCTTTCTATTCATCCAACCGGAAGTCAGTCGCTCGCCTTGACCGTGTCAACACGCCTGCCATCATGCGTAGTCAAACCCACGGCCTTCCCATTGCTAAGTGTGCCGTTTATTTCGCTCAACTCTCCATCGATTTCTGTCATATGTCGGCCGCTTTGATCATAAATTATCCAAATGTACCGAAATTCTGTTTTCCGAACAGCCAGTGGTTGCATAATTGTATTATACCTGTGAACAAACGTAAATAGCTGACGGTGCATGCAAAAACTGAGCCGGTAAACCCAAGATGGGCTTGACCTTCACTAGCGTTCGTCTGTTGTTTAATAGGCCAATAACCGTGAAGCTATTACGACTTCCTTAATTGAAACGTTCTTCTTTGATGTTATCTGGAACCGTTACACGATGCTATCGTATATTCTGTGTAAAATAAATAACGTATAAGGTTTACCATTAACGTGAAAAGTGCTGAAGGTCGGGAAAAATTGACACGAAACGTTAAAAAAAATTGAAACTGAAAAGGTGCACTATGTGATAGATCGAATGAGTAGAATGTCTTGAGATCTGTTGTGATCCGCCACGGAATACTCGGAGTGGCGAAAGCGCATCCTGCCTTCAACTCATTTGCTTCACAAAGTCAAGACTCGGATTTATTTCTGTAAAATGCTCACCACGATTGCAATCTATTCAGTTATGCATCAATTCTGATTGTGTATTCCTGGATTATCAAACTCATGAATTCAAAAAGTGACTCCTCAACTTACAACGTAATTTGGTGCATCTTAAAAATTGATGTCATTTACATTCATCGAATACAGTGGGTTTTTCTTAATTGGCTTGCTTAAATCAAACTGAACAAAACAACAATGTTTGACTTTTGGATATCACAGTCAACGGACATTAAAAACATTTTCGCAATGTTGAATTTGTTTGGAGTACCAAAGTAAATTCTGTAGCATGGGTGAAAGGTGGTGGCGGCGGAGAACGTCTCGTCACCTGTAGCTTGTCTGAATCATGGTCCATTACCACTAAGCGAGGATTTCCTCGCTTGTTATTGATAACTTCACTACGATCATTTGCAATCCAGCCTGACCACGTTGTTAATTACTGTGTCTTGTGGTAAACACGGACATCCTTGGTTTAATTCTCGTTTAATGTGAACAGAGTTTAGGTTTACATCAATGAGATGTTTGAGAAGCTACGTAGCTCATCAGACGTCTTATTAATGTAAACATATTACCTTGATGACTTGACGACTAACTCCAATTTATTCTTATTGTCTGCCTTTTACATCTCATTGATAATAACTGGTGTGTTTCATCTACATGATAATACAATTAATTTGTTTGGAGAGGATTCTTCTCATGGACCGTGTAGATGATGCGTCCCTCGAAGCCGGCTAACATCTAAGCTTTGTGGCACGTTATCAATCATCAGCGCGCAACATACCAAATAACAAAGAGGCTAACCGCCGAAATTATATTTCATTTTTCAAAATTATATTTCAACCCACGCTCCAGATATGATTGAATCTGTGATGGATATTTATTGAGATTTGCCCCTCGGCTTTGGTTGAAGAAATAAGTCTGCCTTGGTTACTGGCATCCTGCGATTAATTAAGACGGAGAAATTTGAAAATGAAACAAAAATACAGTGAAACCTTTATTTTCCTCTATCGAAACGCACTAGGCAATATCAAGCTAACCAGCCATGTGGGTATCGTATTATACCCATTGGACCCGCTACTCGAGTCGTTGATTTCAACCAACTAAAGCTAACAATGATGTACGTGATTGGATACGACCCTGAGGAGCTGACACAGGAAAGCAGCGCCGTTGTTGCATCCTAATGAGATGCTCACTTAGGATAGAAAGCTGAAATCAGGTCTTAAAAGCTTGACTGCTTTACAAGAAGTCCGGCAAATCCTGCCTCCGTAATTGTGCATAATAACAAGTCAGGTTTTATTCAGCTAACGGCAGTTTATGCAACTCCGTTTACTTTATAAGCTTGTATATGATTCAAAGGAACACATTCCATCTTGCTTGGACAATAAAGCCTGCTGCAATCTTTTTTTTTCCTTAATTGTGCCTAATACTGTGACTGCCGTGTGGTGTACTGTGTACACATCACAAGAGATTACGTTGCCTGAACGGTTCTCTCACGCCTTGCTCACAGAAAAAGGTCTTTGCAAGACGATCATTCTAGTTAATTTGTAATGCACAGCATCATGAAAACTTGATAAAGGCTGGTAGCCCTGGTTACGGAATGAAATGAAACCAACACTCTTTTGTCCACTTATATTCTGTTACTTCGTTGATCTAATAGTCGGTAACCCAATCTCCGCTGATACAAAATCGAGCTTGCAGGAAGTTAAGGGGGTAAACTATGACGTCGGCGATGACATCAGGGTTACATTCGATCCCCCAAAAGGGTATTGTCCTATTAGACTAGATGGCTGGCTAGTTGCCCGTGGCAACTGGTCGATTGTCTGTTGTGCATTTTGCAATTCAAGTCAATAATTGTGACAGTTTGGAATCCTCATGGGACCTGGTTAAATTTCTCGCCCAGAATCTAAAATAAAGTTCACGTCTTTGCCTTGTTTGCACTATACAATTCCAGTTAGGCAGCAAAATGTCGTCTGTGCATAGCAATATCTTAAGTGTAAAAAAGTAGCAATCGTTACTTTCTTCGCCATTCAGTGTCGACTACTTCAAGAACCCATTCAATAGATATCTTTGAAGATATCAGAAAGGATATTCAAAATATCTTTAAAGATATCTCATTTTTACCAGAACGTGAACGTTACAGATTTACAAAATAAACAAATGTTAAGGTATAAATAAAGGGAGTTGCTTTTCTGTTAGGAAAGATTTATTTGGCATCATCGAATAGAACTGGTCAAGTTTGTCACTACAGTTTCGATACAAAAATAAATCCACATTAAAATCTTCTAACATGTCTGCATTTATTACATTGACGTTAACACATAAAAAAGAGCACTACTGAATAAGCTATGCGAGATTGTCATGTATACAAACGTGGCAATCAGTATTGGATCGAAACATTGAGATGAACTCGATATTAAAGGTTTTGGTAAACTTTGAGTGATTAAGATCAAAACTTAGAGTTGAAAAGATTCCTAGTATTTTAATTTTAGTTATTTATTGATTTTTTTTTTGCTTTGATTTTGTTAGCATTGATTTTCACTGGCAGTGATTGAAGACAGTAAATGAAGCCTTAGAATTCGGTACGAATTCTGTTAATATAATGGATTTTCAAGGACAGATATTTTGCAGTTTGCATTTAAGCAGAAACAGCGAACATGAACTTACGTACCATTGGCCTTCCACAATTGTGATAGGTAAAACAGTCGTTACGTCACTTAGTTATCTTTTACCACAATATCAAAACAATAAAATACATAAATGTTGCATTATCATGAACTTAAACACATTTAATTTACTTTATTTTAAATAAAATGTACAAAAACGAAATAGATCTCATTTTTTTTTACCAAAAATGCTGAAAAATATCAAAATAAATACATTCTGCCTGCAGGAATTGTGTGCCATTGTACATCAGAAAAGTTGCTGGTATAGAGAAAGCATTGCCATTAATGCAAGATTTATGTTTAGTAAACAACATTTAATCGAACTAAATTAAGAAAATACTTTCTGTCTTCAAACAAAACTTTCGCTCAGGTAAATTATCAGAATAACTTAAATTCCTTGTGAAATAAATTGAAATGCACATTGAAGAAAAAAATATTCGTTCAAAAAACAAGTGGACTTAATTCCTATATAATTATTATAATTTTTTATCTCGATTTTGGCCAGCAGCCATCATGTATTTCCAGTCCTTGATCGTTAATTATATTTATCATTAAACGACGCCACGATCTCGAAGCATATCCGTAATCACTGCAGATGGCATCTCATCAGCTGAGCTAAAATTCTCATCGATTTTATGTTTCTGACTGCGTTCATTGCGATGTAAACGGAATTCGGTAATTAAAGTGATAAATGGAATTCGTTTCGCTCCATTTACTACCAATTTTGCCCGAGGTTGGCGGTTGACGTGGGCAGATACACCAGCCAGACAGTTCGGTTTAATAATAGACCTGAATTCCTGAAACACGATGACGTCATACTTTGTTTACAAGTGCGCTTTGCTGTGGGATTCCTGTTGGGGTGAGAGCCACCAAGCTCCCATAGGAAAGAGCAAGGGTAAACAAAGCGTGACGTCATTATGACACGTCTATTAGCCTAATATTTAAATGTTTTACCTATGTAAATTTACTTATCTAATAATTTGTTATCCATCTTAATTTCACCCATCTTGTCAACTTGAACAACAAACTTGCGTGAGTTCAAATTGTACGATTTAGGTTGCCATCGCATTCAAACCTTCCTATAAATGAACAGAATCAACAATTAGCAACAACGGAACACTTTTCTATTCTAACGTCAACACTTACGACATTACGTAGTTAGCATTATAAAGTGGACTTCTCATGGTTTACACTCGCGTACGTTTTCTCGGGAAATAGGCCTACCGTATGAAACGGTTCCTTCGCATGTGCCGCCGTACTGAGATAACGAATATCATTTTCAAAATACAGACATCATCAACTTGACTTAAGTAATATAAAAAGGCAACTTTTCGTCGTGCTCCCCGACGTCCAAAAAAGAGATCACATAATTATCACTTGTATTGTCACTGTATCCATTTGATCCCCTACCGGCCTCGTTCTGAGTTGTCATTTCTTTTAGAGTTAAGTGTGCACAACTAAACCTTACACAAGACGTTACCCTTTCGAGTAATTAGGCTTAATGGTATTAACAAATGTATATTTTGTTTGTTTACTAACAATGCACAGTAGATTTTGCTGTTGACTTAGTATTTCTTAAGTGAGCCTTTTTGCGTGCATTCCTATTCAATTTGAATGTTGAGTTTCAATATGGCGTCGCCCTAGAATTTTAGAATTGTATACCCTGAATTTCATGTCCTAAAATAATTTTAAAAATTGTGCCTATATTTATAAGAAGCAAATTGTTCTTTACCACAATCATACACAGATCATTAATTCAGGGTCAACACTCTCCCTTTTGAGAACAAAATGACACTTTGTACAAGTCACCATCAACACATAAATATTCAAGCCATAAGTTTGCTTTGTTTCTAGAAGTAAGTTTGTCTAAGAGAATACAAATGAGGCCTGCCTCCGCTGAGAATGGCTGTTGACGAATCAATCTTTATACGGTCTGGTGAGCGAACCAGCGAATCTCCATACTCCACCATGGTATAAGATGAGTCTTGTTCCATGTTACTCATAGACATTGTACGGCGTGGTCGCCGCCTCCTCTCCCACTTGTCTGGTTGGTATCGACGCGGTAGACAGTCGCAGATTATCTTGATGAAGGCACGTTTGAATTTACGACTGGTAAAGGCATAGATTGCCGGATTCAGGGCGCTGTTCGCGTAGCCTAACCACGTCACCACAGGAAAAGTTATATGTGGATTGACAATGCACTGTGGACACACAGGCGCCATGACGTTGCAAATAAAGAAAGGTAACCAACACATGATGAAGACCCCCATGACGATACCAAGAGTTCGAGCAGCTTTGTGTTCTCGGTTCATTCCAGCCAGGAGCGACCTTCTTGCATTGCTCACAGCATTCTTAGCTCCACCGTGTGCTCCGCCAGTTACGCCGACGTTTCGAGCGTTATACCCGTTGGTATAGCCAGCTGCATGGTTGTTATTCATAGTTCCACCTCGATGTACTCGCATAGACATTGCACCTTGTTGCGGACCGGCGTGAACTTTCCGCTGCCCACTTTTGATAACTTTCACTTGCTCGACGGCTGTTCGGTAAACCTGTGCATACATGAATATCATCATAGCGGATGGGATATAGAATGAAATACAAGATGAAATGATGAGATATGTTGCATCTTCAGGAAAGACGCAGTCTGTATCTGGTCTGTCAGCCGGTTCGACAGCGTGCCACCAAGCGATGCAAGGAAATGAGATTAACGACGAACAAATCCAGACGAAAGCGACCAAGAGAGTTCCCAGTTTCTTGGTCATTTTGGATGGATAGCTCATTGGACGAGTGATTGCCCAGTATCGGTCCACTGCAATGACACACAAATTAGTTATGGATGCAGTACATGCTAATATGTCAATGGCATGCCACATGTCGCACCAGGGTTTACCAAAAACCCACTGACCAAAACGCAGCTCGTTATAGATAGCGAAGGGTATGACCGTTGTTCCAATGATAAAGTCAGCTGATGCAAGTGAGGCTATGAAGAAATTGGTGACAGTACGTAAGCACCTCTCGCGATAAATGGCGAGAATAACTAAGGTGTTTCCAAAGACAGTCAGAAGTCCGAGTGATGAGAGTAAGACACCGACAATAATATCCCTTGCAAGAGTGTCTTCTATTGGAGTCTCACTCGTGACGATATCAACCATAGAGGCAGAATTGTTCAGCCAAGTAGTTCCAACAAATGATGTTGAATCCATCATTGTCGACTGGAACTCATCGATGGTAGTCCCAGAGTCATAAGGGTTTGATGATGTTGCAGACGTTACGCTAGATATAAGCGTGTTGTCTGTCGTCGCATACACCGTCGATATCGCTGTCGAGCCGGTGAAAAACTCCTCATGAGTGGTAGACGCAATGGTCGATTGCCTCTGAGTCACAGTCGACCACAAAGTCTGCGTACGATCCGAAGTAATGTCCTGAATATATGTAGTAGTGAGAGATGACGTTGTGGTCGAGTCCACCGTGTTATCGGTGAGATAGTCGCCGGATGTGGAGGCGAGATTCCCCGTCCAACTATCCCACGTCCCCGGTGAACCCATCCCCACCCAGGGGGTAGCCGTGCTCTCTGGACCCACCATATCCCCTGACGATCAACAATTCTAATGAAAGTCGACGTGAAGAGCCTTTGAGTGAGCAGTTGTGGGGCACTAGTCTTTACCCACCAGGCGATTATCGATTAGCGCCGCGCCTGATTGGCCAAGCGCACGCTGAAAAACACACTGGAGTGGAATAATGCAACTTTGCGTGCGGTGCCGATAGGCCGTCAGAACTTTTAGCGGTTGTTGAAAGGGCGCCGCCATACGATGAAATTCCGTCAGGATCATGATGATTTTAGCCATTGAACATGTGATTGGATTAATGAGAGAGAGAGAATGATGGTCACGTAGTGAAAATCTATTAGTTGTGGAAATGAGGCATTATCTTGAAATTTGTCCTCGTATTTTCGTTAGATTTTACAAATGATTTCTTGAACAAATTATTATTACTTTCTAAACAACATTCCGACTGCCAAGCAAGTATTAGGACGTGTGATGTTCTTAGTCATCCAGAAAAACAAAATAAATCTCAATACCTATCTCATACGCAATCAAACACCTTTAAAATTTTGGGACGCTTGACGAATTTCGTGTCATACGCAAAATACTTCTATTATTTTTGCAAGTTGTTCAATCGCGTAAGTCCACGTTTAGATCCATTTTGTTATTCTAAGTATTTGGCCTATTTTAGACTATCACCAAACACCATTATCTGAGATACGTTCATCTGTCTCTTGCTATTTTGAATCGAAGAATTCACAATAGCCAACCAAGTTGGTTGCATGCACACGATGCACAAGACGGCGGGACGCGAAGCTAGAATAACTTGGCCGATTTCCCGGATTTGTCTACTCTAAACATTTGCAAATACTCTGGCAGTGTCTGTTTGTACGATTTATCCGTTACCTATGAGCAAGCTTGGAGACAGTTTCTCGGTCCATGGTAATCAAAATGTCAGTGCTGGCTCGTCATTCGTCTCAGTTCAAACACACACGGGTGTTTTGACAAGCTGTAAGGGTTTGCAACCCGGGGAAAAAGAGGGAATGGCAAAAAAAAAAAATAGCAACCGGATGGATCGAATGTGATTTGCTTGAGCTTAAAGTGCAGTTCGGTATCAGGTTTCAGTGTGGGATGGCAGGCTATATTGCAAATAATTGATCACTGAAATCGGGCAGTAATACTAGAACGTTGATTATTCCTAAACGGTTTATTATCATAACCATGCAGGATACCCACAAATGCGTAAAACACAATCGATCATGTAAGGACTGCAATTTTCCAAACAAACTGGGAAAAAATGACCGACCAGAAACGACACGTTTTGGGCCTGCGGACCCGGCCAGACCCTGTTATTCGGGGATTTTTGTTGTTGTTGTTGTTGTTGTTGTTGTTGTTGGGTGTTTTTTTTGGGGGGGGGGGGGTAGGGGGAGGGGGGGGGAGAGGGGGGCCAGGAAAACAGTGGCGCACCCAAAATTTGTCGTGAGCGGGTACTGTACTGGTTGACCAGCCAGCAATTTGAAAAATCGGAAGAGGGGATGGTATATATTTTTTTTAATTCTTATTCTTTAATTCTAATTCTTATTTTTAACTTGGAAGCCCATTAAATGGGATCCACCTGTCTCCCATGAGGCCTAAGGAGAAGACAATTATGTGACGAAATTACAGTTTTCGATGTGGTAGGAAAACCCCAGTATAATATTCTGAGGAAAATCCACAGAATCAAGTAGGGACTGAAAACCCAATCCACATATTGGCCCAGGTAGGTATCTAGCCCGGGTCACAGCGGTGGAAGGCAAGGAAAGTGCCGCTATAACCTGCATGACTCCTTGACGTTGTACCTTTCCCTTTTAATATTTCACGAACTTGATTCGTCAACGGCAAGGAGCATGCGTCTTTTTTCGTTGATGGGGTTTGGGGTGGCGTGTGGGTTGAATAATCTTGGATGTATGCTCCTCTGAGCGCTACCTTATTGGGTAGTGCCAAGAAAGGGCACAATGGTACCCCACTTGAAGTCAGCCTTTGTTAAACGCTACAGGTTCCCCCTGTAGGGAAATTCTAAAGAAGAGGGAGCTAAGGGAGAACAATGCAAGTACCCCACACTCATCTGTAAGGTTGATCTTGTTATCGTGAATTGAGACTATGGGGGATTTGCAATAACAATAATCCCAAGAACCTCAGCCAAGTCTTCGGGAGGTTTTCGTGTACACCTTACGGGAGATGTTGAGAAAAAGTTACAAACAATGAAAACAAAGAAGGGGAGCTCCTCATAAGTATAGGATACGACTGCGTGTGTGTCTGTGTGTGTGTTGGGGGGTGAAGGAGGGGGAGGGCACGTTCGATCATTCATTGGTATTCCTGCTGTTTGTCGTTTATGTCAACAGAGGGCGCTAAACGACATGCCTAAAAGTACTTTGAAATAACATTATCCAACATATTTTGAATTTTCCAACACTATCTGTACTCTCAGTTGGTTGTGTTGAAATTAAAGCATGTATTTGGCTCAGTGTCAAAATGTTAGATTTGTACATTAAAAATTTACTCCATTTTTCCGGACGAGCGCCCTCAAGAAATGTTTTTTCAATAAGATACACTGAACGTATGCAGTAACGGGAGATTTAGAGTTTTCCTATTTCCAAAAGTATCAAGTTTATTTTTGTAAACAATTACCTAAAAATATCTGCAACGCACTATCATTTGAGTTCCAAATATTGACACTTTATTGGTGTGTCACATTTCAGTTGCATTACAATCATCTAAGTGCTAAAGTTGTTGCACTTTTCAGGATCAAAACGTTCTATTCACTGGTATAAAAGTCTATGAATTGTGCATTGCGGGCCCAGCTCCTTTTACCTCATACATTGTAAGTCTGTGTTTGCAAAGACGGGTTTCGAAAAATGGACTGACAATGACATTTTTAAAGGCAACGAAAATCATGTAAATTAAGCAGTTTGAAATTTGAAATTGTTGAGAAAAGGCTAGAAATTAGCGTCGGCGACTAGTAATGGATTCTTTCGGTAGTCAAGCTCTTCTTCATGCATCAATAAATCGAAGTTCAGGTAGGAAACTTGTCAATCAGTTAATATAATAATGTGGACAGTAAAAATGACATGTTTTGTTATTGTTTGTCATGATTTTTGATTTTGTCATCATGGTCATATCTGCGCCTTAGTTATAGCTTCTACCTGTAGAAATACGTGTCATGTTTTGCATGTTTTTTTCACGATATGTTTATTTAGACATGACTATGACCATGGAGGTAGGACGCGGCGAGTTGTAACTTAAGCTGGTTGTGCACTAGACTTTTACGTAGTTTGTGAAACAAACTCTGCTGTCGTAAGAAATTTCATGTGCAGCAAGACTATATAATAATGACTCAATGAGGCTATTTTTATTTGTTTTATATTCTCAATAGATTCTGGTGATCCTGAAGTGGAATATCGAGTCAAAAAAGGTACAATGTATGATGTAATGAAATATTTCCTTGCAATATAAAAATGTATTATTTGTTTAATACAGTCCTAGTTTTGCCAAATGAGGTTTTGAGTAACAGTTAGAAATGTACATGTACTTATCTCGCAATTGTTTTTTTATAAGTGCACTGAATCGTGTATTTGTAATCACCTTGCCACTGCCTTTATTTACTCCACAGTTACCGAGAAGTTCTCCGAGTGTATGCATATTGTTGCCAATGAGCCGTCGCTTGCCATGTTCAGAATTCAAGAACACATCAGGAAGTCTCTACCAAAGCTTGCAGAGTGTAAGGTAGGTTGAAGATTGTAGGTATTGTACTTTTGTCGTTATGCTTCAACACCATTGTAGTTCTTTGGGATTGAAATAACTCCATATTTACTCCCTTAACATTTTTGTCAGATTAAATACACCAAAATACCTCAAATCAATCCTGAATTCACGATTTTTTGACATTGTACTTAGATGGAGCTTGGTCAGACGCAACAACTTGTCCAAGGAGCCTATTATGATGTGGATTATGCCATCAGGTAGGGAAAAAACACACATTGGGAAATATTTAATCAGGGGTGTAGCAAACTGAGGTGTGTGTGGCATCCCCCCCCCAAAAAAAAATACACCCCAATAATTCCTCTCAGTCGGCATTTAGAGCCTCATTGAGCAAACGAACCTTCGCTAGATTGTTTGTCAGCAAGTTTGTTGTCAATCCCCCCCCAAAAAAAAAAAAGAAGAAAAAAATGAGAAATAAAGTCAGTCTCGCTGACTTTATGAAAATATCTCACTGAATCACCAGCCAACATCCCTAACCCCCCCCCCCCCCCCCCCGCCCACCCTCAAGAAAAAAAGGGGGGGGGAAGAAAATCTTAATAACGAAGAACAGATAATATTTCAAATCCATTGAGTTTATACCAACATGACCAATGAAGTTCCCAACCGATTGAACAACCTATAGAGTTTAGGTCGTGCTGATTGTATGCATGATGTTTATATTCTCGTCTGTTTCGTAATAACGTTGTCAGTTTAAACACTGGATTTTTACCTCTGCAGGGCAGTGAGTGATATACAGAATAGCACTCAGTCCTTCGCATCAATAGAAAATATGCTGAAAGACTCCATAACATGCAAGAGACAACTAAATGCCAAAGCCCAAGCAGCCAAGGCAGTGAAAGCAAGGTAAAAACACCTGTTGTCAAGAAAATTAATTGACGAGTTCATGAACATGCCACAGTTGTGAGAATGAAAACGACAATTTGAATGCTTGAAGAAGTTCTCTTCCTTCCTTGCCACAAACAAGACGCTTATTGATGAAAGCTACGTTTAAAGCAGACTTAAAGGCATATGGGATCATTTGCATTTATCCCAAAAGTAACCTACCCAATCATTATCAAAACAAGCTTACTTGGGTTAAATATCGTATTGGTACTAAATACCCCGTGAAATTATTTCGTCTGGCTTGCTGTCATTTAGCAGAAATCAAGAAATGTATGATATTTCCAACGATCGGTCAATTGACCGATTTTTGGAAATACTGTGTGCTATGGACAAAATCGTGTTACGATATCAAAAGATTATGCAAGGTTTTTCACTTTTTTCAAAAAGTGTAATATCCACTGAGCTGAACCTTCAACAGGTTAGGTTTAGAACATTCGTCTTTGGATTCTGATTGGTGTTATTATTGGAAACAAACAAAATGCATAAAAAGCAAACAATCCTGCCTCTAAACTTGCAGCATCATCTGTTGCTATCCAAAATCACAGGTGTACATTTCTTCTTGTTCTCCACAGCAGAGATTCTCCTCTGACTCTAATCAAAGATGAGACGGGAGAAACGGCCAGTACAGGTTCAAATACCTGAGGATTGGAAGCAAGGAATCTTCTAGATGACAAGACAAGAACTCCTTGGGAGTCCAGAGATTGGATGGACGCAGGCAAGCATGTGTCTGTATTGTGCTGTATGTTTTCATGTGTCAATGACGTTCCAAACGCCTGTAATGTTCATCATGTTCATGTGGAAGCTGTGGATGCAAGCAGTTAATTCCCATCAAAGACTCTTCAAAATATCCAGTGCTGATTTGCTGTTGCTAAAATATTGACCAAATCCCACGGATTGAATGCAGCAAATTGAATTGGTGCTGACTCAAATTATGTGTTCAGTGACAGTATAAATGAAATGGTAGGATTGAAATCAACAATAAGTGGTTTTATCTTGTCAAGAACCTCTCCACAACTTCTAAAAAAGGAACCATTTTTGCTGCAATTTATTCCGTTGAATTGATGGAAATTTGATTTGAGTATCCTGCTGTACGTTGTTTCATCTCACTGTCAATCAGAGTTGCATGCAGGAAACAAATATGGCAAGCGTGCTCATTAGGGTTGTGCTGAATATACCCAATATTCGAATATTCGATCAGCAATTGAATAGTATGTTTTTTGATTCAGATATTCAAAAATTATGCGGTCTCCAGGAGGTGATGAAAAACATCCATAACGTTATTTTTAATTGTATAAAATGTGGTTTTGCTATTTGTTAAATGCTACACTTTTGTTGGAAGCCACTTTACATGCGTGATTGGAGAGCTTTCTTGAGGAATATTGGCTCAAATTTCTTCTGAATATCAGCCATTCTGCTACCTCAAAAAATGTATCGATACATACGTTATGCTTTGCATATAGTTTGAATAATCTCTTAGTCAATTCTCAACAAGCGCAGTTGCACACAAATCCCTATTGGTGGCCAGCTTAGCTTGGGGTATATGCAACTTGATTAGTACATTTCGAATATTCAAATGTTTGTTCTGGTTCAAGTTAGAATAATCAAATACTAAATTATTCAAAATGCACAGCAATAGTGTTCGGTATTCCGCTGATGCACTTTTCAAGTCGTTAGGTGGGATTTTGTGAATTTGTATCATATTCTCAATTTCTAATGAAAACTGAGTGATCGTAAAGCAAATGCTACTATTGGTGGTTTTTTTTTTTTTTAATGCCACAAATGAGAAAATAATTATGCATATTCTGCTTGAAAACTAATTGTATGCTTTGCCACGAATGGCATTAACAGCAAAATTCGAGGAAGATTTCATTGTTTTTGTAAACGTTCATCAATCACACAGGAAGCATCAAGACTTCTGTAATTAATTCATTATAAATCCTTCTATCGCCACAACTGTATAAGGGGATCTTAACCTCCAGTCAAACTCTGAAATTAAATAGCCTCAATTGATAATAAACAAAAGTACAATGCCTCTGAAGATTAATGTATCACCTTTTCTGTTTCATTTCCAAGATTCATCCTTGATAGGTTGATAGATTGAAGTTTTTGTTATTATTTTCTGCAAATTTAAGGCTGTGGTGGATATTTTTATTGAAAAAAAAATCACGTAAGCGATCTGCTCCCCTGAGACAACAACCGCCACCCTCAAGAATCTAATCAGTTGTACTTTTTGTAGCTAGATAAAAAAAAAACAGAGAGGAATAAATGGAATCGAGTATTGGTATGTTGAATATCGCCACCATGCGGCGTGTAGTCGTCAGTTGTAAGTACAAGCTATCAGGGAGCTGTGGTCGTGCAGATAGTGTATGAACATGAATATTTTGCCTGAATTACGCATAATTATGATGGTGGGTGTGTTGGTGGGTGTTTTAATTGTTTTGTGGGTATGAGAAGCAAAAATTTGTAATTTTTTTTGTGAATTTTAATCTGTAACGTGATGAAATATAAAAAAACCCTAGTTGATGACAAGAAAATAAAATTCTCCTAACCTCCCTGAAAGTGCTCATTCGGTCAACCAGATTAATTCCAGTCTCGTGTCGATGAGATGCAAGCGCCGTCAATGCCAAGCTTATTATGCAGTGTTTTATTTCAACATCGGCTTTCCTGCTATTTGTTTTCTTTTGTTGCCAGTCAGGGAATTAGTTTCAGGGGCGTGCGCGCCAAAATGACGTCACGGTGTGGAATATTGCACAGGCTGAATGAGGAAAGTTGTGAAGTGTATGACGTCAAGAAGAGAACGCGCGCGTGGTAATCACGCGCTGAAGTCACCCCTGCCTGCATAATTTGTGGTGGTTTTTTTGCCACCTTATAATTATTTTTATTAGATTATCATGTTAGTTGATAAACACTGGGAAAATGTCAACATGTTTGTTTGGGAGTCTTGTTGATGTTATTCGAAGGAAGGAGACGAATTTCAAAATTAAATCCTGGTTAATTGTTCAACTTTTTAAAAGGTGAGACTCAATCAATCTCTTACTGCGATATATTATTGATATGAAAAAAACAAATCATAAATATTTGAATCTATATATATTACACGTTGTTCGGATGAAGCAGAAAATTGACTTAGCCAAGCAAACAGTCTGTTGTATCATGCGTGAAGGTGGAATATTTTTGTCGCTTAATTAATTTCGGAGTTTAATTACAACACGGCCTGCGATTTTCTAAAAAGACTGTTTCATATAAACACGGTAGTAGACGCACCGATGGTGTATGTTGTGACATTCGTCAATCATTTGAAGACATTCTGTTGATGTATTCAGTTGCTCAGCCTGTCATTGACCCGTACGATCGGGTCGACTGACCCAACAGAAGGCAACACCAATATTAGCCCTGGCGCCCGTTTGAAGTCAAATTGTCTGTTTTTCTATAGATGTCTTTTCAAAACACCGCAAGCAACCCGCTAGATATCTGGAGTGCTTGGCATTCCGAGGACACAATTTTGATGGATCCCTGCTTCATCCCTGGAGGATAATCTTTGTACTTTACTCATCATTCATCGTTCTCTTTGCTCTGTTTGTGTATTTCTTGCTCCTAATTCTTGTAGGGTCCCATCGTGATCTTGTGAAGTAAGTCTCTCCATGTTTTGCTCGTTACACGCTCTGCGGATTGATCCCAGTCGCACACAAATTACAAGGAAAGTGAGGATCGTAGCTAGACTTGTCCAAGTCCGTTGAAGGAAACAGATGATTATTGCAAGGGGTTCATTGTAAATAAGCATAACATTTTTATTTTAAAAAAAATAATAAAGATCAAATTTTAGAGTACAGAAGTAAACGGTCAATTCCCTAGTACAGTCAGTAGTTACTATCATACCAAACTGAATAATATACAACTATAATACAAACGGTCGCAGAAAAGGGAAAAACAGTATTTCAGTCTTTAAATAAATTTGTCGCATTTCCACTTTTTTTTTTAGTGACTAATGATAATTATGTGATCACTTCAATGTAAATCTCTCAGATGCATGTCCAAATTCCCTTCATTTTTGTATAGTATACTGACTGTAAATGGCAAATCACGTGACGCGGTAGCCCCATGTAACCTAATATTTCAGCTCGGGTTCAAGTGTATAGTTCCAATATTGACCCAGTTGTATCAATATATACATTTTACTATGCACTCTTAGGTGACTGAGCTTTCGTGCGTGTTTTTTTTCCTTCTCACTCGAATTATTTGCAAATAACTGGAAGGTGTTAGAGTACATGTGCTTTGAATCCGTCAGACCAGATTGTATTGTATGTTTTCCGTGTAGGCCTGTGCAAATTTGAACAAATTAGCAATACAGCATAAAGGAGTGCAACCGCTTTTCTTTGCATGGAAAAATCGTCATTAATGTTTTGAGCCACAAAATCGATAAGTGATTTAGCCCAAAAATGTGGGATGCGAAATTATGAGAATCATGCAATTGAGATTGCCTTCTTTAAAACAACACTCACAAATGAATGTGTGGATTCGTGGACTTTGTCTTTTTTATAAGAAAAAAAAAGCCATGGCAAATGGGGTGACTGTGTCAAATATAATGAATTCAGACAGCACGTGGGATAAGTGCTCATCACATGATCCAAAAGGAAGAGATTTAAAGAACACTGAAATCAGACTTTCGATTCCATATTATATCTCTGATAAGACAACCAAGCTAAAGTGACATTACTGACATCCGACTCGGCTGTTTTTATGGCTACGGTTAGGCTCTTGCCATTGGCGCGTAAAGATCAACAGCTGCGGCCGTAGCCATGTACATGTAGCAGCCGTTTCACGGCCAGACACAATTTAATTGATTCGTACTTGGGCATTGAAATGACCCGTATGATATTGCCCATATAGCTGTTGCTGATTTGCTTGGTGTGCAGCTCACACCACCCTAAAGATTGGATAACTGGGTAATCGGATTAGTATTTATAGGATTAAGATAAGTCGGACAATATGTGGTTCATCAACATTCACTAATCTAACTGGGTCAGATCACAACAGTATTATAACAAAATACTCGGCGTTTGAAATTTGCCAAATCAAGGCCATTGTATTTTACTCTCTTTTTTTTCTGGAGTGTCCAAGAAATGTGAATAAATTCAATGTGACGTTATCACAGTCAATATTTTGACACAAATTGTGTACCTTTAATTATCGTGGTGATCAAGTTGAAAAGTAATTTCAAGCAGACAGTAATCGCCAATTTCGCAATTGGGGCCCTATTCGTCTTAAGGATTTTTTTATACCTTTTAAATTTTTCAACATATTTAAAATATATATGAAATTGCCACACTGTTAAAGAAAATCACGTTTGTCTTACAAACACAAATATACGGTATGGAGGTTGATATACACTCATGCAAAAGTGTTGTGTACATTTCCCGTTGACACGAAGTTGGAACATGTTCGTGTTTTGAGGCATACATGCGTTATTTTCTGTTTTTGAGGCAGTTGGACTATGTTGTATGTTGGACTATACTTGCCACAGAGCCACACACCCATACACACAGCCCCCCCCCCCCCCCCCCCCCCGCAACCAGCTAATGTAATCAAGTCTTAATTACGGCCGGATATTCAGGCTGTTCGTTACATCTTCAGCCAACCAGTCGGAGTAAAAAGATACAAGACGAACTTGTGAGT